ATTTTCGCCAACGTTTGCCTTCGTATATATTGGTAGTGAGTTTCAAACGTTTTTTCTCTCGCAGAAAAACTTCAGTGAAGAGTTAGTTACGCATTGAACATTACTCATTAGTAGTTATTAAATATTAAGTTTTTAATGTCTTTAATAACGTCTGTCTGTCGCCGCAAGCAAGCTAATAGCTGTTAAGTTCAACTCAAATTCCAGTTTGCTGGATCAAACGTGTCCGGCAGAAGAGGTAGGACGGCTTCTAACACAAAAGAACAACATTAATTGTTCGTTTTTGACTACAAATTACAAGTTTGTAAGCTATAATGTGACTTGTAACTGCCTTGCTGTAAACATCAAAGGGACTTCCGCACATGAACAGGTAAACAAACCAACTAAAAATAGCTGGTATTATAGCGTTTTGTTCTCATCGAATTTTCTTTTGCCGGCAAGTTTTATTGTCGTTCATTTAACTTCAAGGAGTGCTTTTTCACTCTAAATGTATTTCAAAGTCCAGATAGGTGCCACTTTCGAAAAATTTTCGATTATAATTACGGACTATGGGGCGAAGGATTAAACGACAAAATACTACGTTCGCTAACGAAGAAGAAATATACTTAAAATTGTTGTTGACTCTTACATTGATACGAGGTTTTCAATAGAGAATAATTCTGATTTATATTTCTGAAAGAATTGTTGAATGATGCAAAACTTCCCGAGATATGACGAGAGATTTACCGGGGATTTATGGGCGGCGCTTCGTCTCGAATTTCACTCACGCCTGCATGGTGGTTATAATAAGCTAAAACTCGAAAATAAAATAGAATTTAAAAATTTTAAAACCGGCAAAAATGTTGCTAAGGCAAACACAACACGTGGGCAAAATAGAAGCGAAAATAATTTTCTTGCTTGAAAGCCACTGGTCGGTTCTTAGAGAGACAGCCTCTTAATAGGCGAAGAGAGCAATTTTGTTTAAAGGACATAGTCAGGATGTAGATGGTTATAATTCAAAACTTGGATTCATACTGGAGATTCGGGAGGTGTTTTCCGGTGATTGATACCATTTTGTCTCATCCGTTCCTTTGTTGCATTACTGGTGTGTTTCGGGCCATTATCCTGCCACATCTTATGACCATCTGGGTACACTTTCATGATGAACGGTAACAGATTTCATGCCAAAATTTTTTGATATCCATTACTTTCCATTATTCTAGTGAAAATGCATACTGAAGTTGCACCGTGCCATGAAATCCTTCCCCATACATGCACCTTAAAATAATATAGTTTTATAAATATATTACTCTTTTTACAGTAACATATTTAGAAACTAGTGGCATGCCATACACAATATAAAATCCAGCAGTGGGGTGGGGTGGCAAATTTTAGTTATATATGTGATAAACTCTGCCCTGCAAGTTTTCCTCAGAAAACCAATCCGGCCATATAATAGGAATCATATAAGGAGTATGTAAATTAATCCATCAAAAAGCAAAATGCTTCTCATACGAATCTATTAGTCTATTTTGGTATAATATAAAACAAATAATGAATGTTTATGAATGTGAATTACCTTATTATTTGGACAATAATTACATTACTAACTTCTTTTTAACCGAACGCAAGAACTGTACAGAGAAATTTCGGACTGAGGTCTTTTTTAAAAGAACCGAGGTCCGATATTTCTCTGTACATACCGATCAAGCAAGGTGAATAAAAAGTTTATTATATGGCATTTATACTTGAAACAACAAGAAACGTTTTGATTTGAAGATTTCAAATGAAGATTTCAAATGCATAATAGTAGCGTGGTAGACATTTGGTCAAAGAAAACAAAAAATGCCAATGTATTCCTTCTTTTCCGCTAAAAACCATTTGCAGATATCTTATTAATAACAAATTAAATTATAACTTTCAAATTTTCATTTATAGTTTTGCTGTTTTGTTTTAAACTGCATGTGTAGTTGTTTTTACATATTGGTCCATTACGGTAAAATAATGGACCGTTGAAAGTGTTTCTCAGCCAACCCTTACGAATGAATATAAGCCCATGTAGGGATTACATTGGGACATTTACGGTATGCAAATTCACAGTAAAAGATCTATACAGCAGAAAACAAGGTTCTTTACAACGTTTTTTCAATTTGAAGATGATGGTATATTGATTTATACTTAATAGGGAAAATTTGGAAAAGTACATTAATTTAGCAAAGTACTCTTCTGGCACAAGTTAATCCTGCAAGGACAAGATTTGGTTAATCATAATTGCGGATTCTCGCAATGAGAACACTGTTTAAATATATAACAATAAAGATTCTCGCAATGAGAACACTGTTTAAATATATAACAATAAAGATTCACCATTCTTATAATCCCATAAAAAATTTTGCAGAGAACAAAAATTTTCTGATGATACAATACCTATACGACAGAGAAGAACATGCAGTAATACCCGTGCCTCATGGGAATTCCCATAAGAAACAAGCGTCAGCTTATGTTATAACAAAGCCCAGCACATTGAAAAGAGTGCAAGAAATTGTAAAAACTGTTGGCCCTAAAGGAACGGTGGTTATCTGAGAACAGCCTCTGCAAGCGACCTTCCTCGTAACTGTGAACAGGCCAAGAACTTCAGATCTAGATTGTTACAGTTGAGACCCTCCACCAAAAATGTAGATTCGCTGGCTATCCTTCAAGAATGCAAAAGACAACAAATGAGCATATGGAAAGATTCCTTCATAAGGAAAGTCACTGGAGCTCCTGAACTTCATTGTGTCCTTGCATTTGACTGGCAACTGAAACAAATTGAACAATTTTGCACAAATCCACACAATTTTACAATTTCTTCAGTGGACCCAACATTCAACTTAGGCAACTTTAATCTGACTGTAACAAAGTACCGCCATTTGAAAGTTGTTATGCACAGGAATGAACACCACCCAGTAATGATAGGACTGTTGCGCTTAAGTCAAACAAAATCATTAGAAACATACAATTATTTTTTTGGACAGTTGCCATCTCTCAATAAGAAATGTTCTTGCAATTGGAACAGACAAGAGAGGAGGCGTTAATAGAGGGCATGAAAAACAGCATGAATCATGCCATTCATCTACAGTGTTTCGGTCATTTTCGAGACAATTGGAAGTCCAAGCTCAAGCAAGTCAAACGTTCCTGAAGTTGCTGAGAAAAAACTTTCTGCATGACATATTTGGAAAATGGGATGGTGAAACATTTGAGAAAGGTAAATGAATATTTATAATCTTAAACAACTTTCTTTTCAATAATGTCTGACATCATTTAATGTAGGACACATGTGAAATGCCCATGTGGAATTGGTGCCTTTATGAATTATGAAATTTAATTTTAATTTTAATTATGAAATTTAATTTTATCGATAAATTTAAATATTATTAACCACCGACTTTTCAAAATGAAAACTGGCGCTATGCGGAAGATTTGCAGAACAGTGGGTTGTAGACGGGGGGCCAAACTATTCATCTTTATTTAAATTTAACCCTTTAGTTACGACATTGTTGGTTGCATCACTAAAAAATCTCGACCACTTTTGCTTAATCCCTTGAAATCTTATGAACATCCATTGTATGTATATTTGAAATCCCCAAATCTCATACACCTATCAGTGGAGTGATGTGCCATTTGCATTACAAATGTGATTGTCGAGAACATGCAAGCCAGAGTATGGACAGATGCTGGACTGGGAGATCCACCAACCCCATTTTATACCAACTTACCCAGAGTCTGTGAATGCTGTTTTTAAATGGGCAGTCAACTTCCAAGAAAGCGAAATGTTCAATTTCACATTAACGATGGCACAGCTTATCAGACACCAAAAGGAGGACATAAGAGGGACGTTGTTGAACAGCAGTCCTTACAAGTTAACTCAGGTCTATACAAACCTACAATGGACACAAGAGAAATGGTTTTCCATGACCCCAGAACAACGCGAAGCCTATGAGAATGCGTTTGACAAGAAATACTTAAATGAGAAAGAAACAGGCTGTGACATGGAACATAATCATGAAATGGCATCACTGTCAGTGCAAAAGAAGCAAATTTGACATGCCATCCTCTTCAAACAGTCAAACATGTTTATAGGAAGCCCAATCGCTTTTGTCTTAAGATAATGCTATTGTTCCAGCACCAGGAAGCAATGGCATGGTGGCCTTCATGGTGGAAAGCAAAACTTCCGAACAGCCCCACTACGTATATTCAGAAAAGAATGGGAAAGTGACTTGCGAAAACTGCCCAAGATGGTCGTCTGCCAAACTGTGCAAACATTCTGTAGCTGTAGCAGAGAAGGTACAAAACTTTGGGAAATATCTAGATTGGTTAAGATGTCACAACACACCTCATAACCAGACCACTTTGGTAACTTTTATTCTGGCAAAGGCATTGGAAAGAAAAGAAACCAGGCAGCAACAAGCCAATGAAAGTGTGGACAAAGTGGTAAGAAGTTTCAAGAGGGCATTGTAGTTACCGACAGACTCAACCGACGACAACAACAACAACCACCATAACAACAACAACCACCACAATGATAACGGCAACCAACAATGACAGCAACAGCAGCAGCAACAGATTAACTGGAATACGATATGGTCACCACAAACCATCCCACAATTCATACCAATATATCAAGCACAACATTGTCACAACTCACAACCAACATGGTAACACCAACATTGTCCTAACATGAACAGCTCCTTTGCACCTGCATCCTGGTTATCCTAACCCTCTGTTTGGTTCATATATGTTATACCTTCTACAGTTTTGTCCACCTCAAGTGAAAACCTGTTTTGGGTGGGGACAGTCTCTTAAACCTGGAGGACAAATTGGAGGACCCCCTTGTGATCTTGTTATAGTATCGGATGGAAGAGACCCTACAATAACAAGAGCCCCCCACACAGGAGCAAGCAGGAACACTTCCTCGGGTAGAAGAATTTGAATCACAGATTACGTCATCAGTTAGTTATAGTGATTAGTGTTGAGGTTAGGGTAAGGGTTAGATTAAGGATTAGGCCTTAGAGATAGGGATTGGGTTATATCTGGCACCACAAACAACACAACTAGTCGATCACATGATCAGTTCTCCTCTACCCGAGGAACTACCCATTTAGTTAGAAAGACGAGTATTATCGCCTCAAGAAACTTGGAAAATATCCATTAATTATCAACACATTCAAAAGTATCTTCAAGTATGTCACTCATCTTAACTCACTTCCTGAAACGAAACAACTATTTCCAAACAAGCTTTCCTCATATCAAAAGATTTATTCATTAAAAAGAGCAATTCTATCTATGGAAAAGCAATGGAATCCCAGACATAGACTCACTCACAACCAATCTTGTTGACACATGTGTTAAAGATACTAAAGAAAGCTACCAGAGATTCTGTTGACACAAACTTGAAACTTACCTTTTACACAAGCATAAACAAAGACTATGAGCTTGAACCCTACTTGACTACCATAACTAACTCAAACCAAAAAGTTCCAATTGAACTCAGTAGATACAAAAATATTCCGTGAGAAGACCGAATATGCAAGATTTGCCAGTCAGTCAAGAGAAGTTGAAACAGAACATCACTTTGTAACTTCCAATGGAAGCCAATGGTAGTCTTTTTACACAACTTGCAAAGTGATTCCACCAATGAAACAGATTTAAACAAACACAGTTTACCAGTTGAGATAATGAAATCAAACTGATAAAGAAACCATGATAAAATTATCGAAATGTATCTGTTTGTGTTTTGAGAAGAGATCTTAGTATAAATATTTACAAATGCAAAATATTTAGTGGTAGTATGACATACTGCCAGTTAAAAATAAGTACACTATTTACACAGTATAGAATTGAAGAAGTTTGGGTTTTAGTTAAACAGCCCATTAACTCAATTCGATCCGCCAATATTAATTTCCGACGTATATGACGGGAAGATTAAATATTAAAGAACTTCGCGAGTATTTGCAGTAGACATACGAAAATACCACCAAAAAATTCCGCTTGATCGATACTATCTATTCAGAAATATTCATATAATTTTATTGTTTCTCGCTCAATTTCAAGCGAATTTCTTACCTTGAAATGATCAATGCGGTGAAATTTATGCAAATGACACATCAATTTTGCTGTTGCATTTTGAATGTTCCGCCTGATTCAAATGCTTGTCTTTTTGCTTCTTTTCAACGTATAATAATAACAAATATACCAAAAGAATCACCATCTTCTATTCTATAGCTCGGAGCAGTCTCGGGAAATTGCAAAATAATCTAAGCCTATTATGGCAATTCTCGTGATCGGAAAGTGTTCGGCCAACTTCGGACGCCAAATTCTTGGTAAGCATTACAGTTTCCTGGTAAAAGACTGCAGGAATCACTTCCGGAGTGTTTGTTTACCCTAGATACGGATTTTGATTGGCTTAGGCAGAAAAACAAATCTTTTAGAGCAATTTTCCTGATTATCGCGCACAGGAACGCACGAGCGTTGAAATGTATTGTGTTGTAGTTTTGTTTGAATCGCATTCTGAAGACGTTTTTGGCTTTATTTTGCAAACTGATAGTGCTAGTAATGATGGAATGTCTTCATATGAAGACAAGTATCTCAACCTGGCATTGGGAGTCGTGTCTGGAGTTTCAAGGCAAGTATTTTTATCATTTCCAGACAATTTCTATTTCAATGTTTTGCCGTTGCCATGGCATTGTAAATGTATTTGTATTTAGTATACTTCACTAGTACGACCAAGTATGTCCTCATATCGCATTTTTGTGTTGAAATAATCGTTTCATACTGAAATTGACAAACATAAATGGTATTTATTTATATTGTTGACGAAAATGAATGGTGCACTTAAATTGGATAAGACTCGCTACCAATTCCTGTTGACTCGATAACTCAATAGGTAGAGCAGCGGTCTGGATACCCGAAGATGTGAGTTCAAATCCCACTTGAGCCAACAAATTTTTTTGTTGGTTGATTGCAGTGTCAGATTAATATGAAACTATGTTTAGAATATGCAAGGTAAATAATACTCATCATGAGGTTAGATTTAAGTAGAATAAAATAATTTAATATAGACACTCACTCAGACTATATAACAGACGACCATTGTGATGTACGAGCATACAAAAACCAGTGTAAAGCCTATTATTATTAAAGTACAAATAATACAATAATTATGCATTTCTTTTGTCATCTCTGTAAATGTAACATTGCAAATTTCACAGAAAATTTCTAGACTCAGGTTCCCAGAAAGAAAAAAATTTTCCACCCCTGGCCTACTATGTGGGGGATAAATCTGTGGGTTGCTGCAGATGGGATGGTCGTTTACCAGGAGTAAAGCAAACTATTCTGAAAAGCAAATTTTTGGTGCAACTTGTAATATTCCTTTAGAATAACACAGAAATATTTGGATTAAGATGAATCAAGTAGGTTTTAAGGATTTAGACAGGGCAACGTGTGGAACTGGGTTGCAAACATATTTTAACATCGGAGTGATCTTCGGAGCCATCTACCTCCTGTGTGATTTTTGCTTGTGAGAACAGTGCCGGGTTCGCCTCTGTTCAACTTGAAGTACTTGTGGCTGTCTGCGGTTTTGACTAGACATAGCATTGATTTCTTCAATGAACTTTGGTTTTCTCTACCACGTTTTCCGAAGTAGATGGAAATTTGAAACCAAGCCGTTTGAAGCGAAGCCCGTGGACTTTGTGTATCAACATCAGGAAGCTCGCGTTTTTCATAATACAGCTTCTTGATTATGTCGGCTGTCAAACTGACTTTCTGTACTGTGGCTGCTATCTTTCCATTCTTCATGAGCTGCTTCAGGTATGAACTAAGAGTTTTATTTGCTTCGATGAACAACACAGCGTCGCATATTGAAAATCTTTTGTTTAAGGCGGTGCTTTCAAGTTGGCAGTCAAGCGCTGCTCTTATGGACAACAAACTAGTTTTTTTGTAGTAATTTCCATCTTGCTTTCTTGCTGAGAAGTAAAACTTGGAAAGACACTTATTCATTTCCTCAGTACTCATGCATTCAAATGCTGTTGGAAATTCAGCTTGGTCATGAAACCACCTCCATTAAATAAACAAAGTTTTTGCATTTATTTTCACTATAAATAGTTTGGTTATGACAAAGCCAGTTTTTTCCAAATAAAAGCACGTAAAGTTTAACATTTTACCTTGAAATATTTTTAAACCATATTTTGTAGCTTGTTTGGGGGTTTTTTCGGAATGCTATCTTCTTTAATTTGGGAAATTTCCTCTTCTGTTACTATGGCAAAACGAGCAGCCATTTTGAAAAAAAGCAAAAAGCTATAGTCACTGACTAGTGACTATCACTTCAGGGACAGTGAATCTTGACCAATCAGAATGCAGGAAAATCAATAGTCACCTGGAAATTTATACTAATTACAGATAGTTGTGGTGATGGAGAGAGAACTCCATCACATTGATTTCTTTCGACCAATAAAACCGAAACAGTGTGAAGTAAAACCTACCTCTCCAATAAATTGCACTGACTATATGTAGTACTTTCCCTATGCAAGCTTTCTCTTAGTCCTGACAAAATTGTCAATAACCTTAATTTTCCATGTGACATTCTACATGAAAGACACTAAGTGGTTAGAAAATGAACTCATATTGGTGGATAACACCACACATTACAGGGTAGCAGATGATGGTCATTATAGGAGCAAGAAAATTGAATTACGTCTCTCAAAAGCATTAATAATCCATGCAGGGGTGGAAAAATTTTTTTTCTTTCTTGGAACCTGAGTAAAAGGCTAGAAATTTTCTGTGAAATTTGCAATGTTACAATAACAGAGATGACAAAAGAAATGCATAATTATTGTATTATTTGTACTTTAATAATAATAGGCTTTACACTGGTTTTTGTATGCTTGTACATCCCAATAGTTGTCTGTTATATAGTCTGAGTGAGTGTCTATATTAAATTAATTTATTCTACTTAAGTCTAACCTCATGAGCATTATTTACCATTGCATATTCTAAACATAGTTTCATATTAATCTGACACTGCAATCAACCAACAAAAAAATTTGTTGGCTCGAGCGGGATTTGAACTCGCATCTTCGGGTATCCAGACCGCTGCTCTACCTATTGAGTTATCGAGTCAACAGGGATTGGTAGCGAGTCTTATCCAATTTAAGTGCACAAAATACTTTCGTGATGACTTAGCGCTTGTCTTAGAGGACGCACAGTGTTCTCTAAGACAAGTGCTAAGTTGTCACAAAAATATTTTGTGAACTTAAATTGGATAAGACTTGCTACCAATCCCTGTTGACTCGATAGCTCAACAGCTAGAGCGGCGGTCTAGATACCCGAAGATGTGAGGTCAAATCCCGCTAGAGCCAACAAATTTTTCGTTGGTCGATTGCAGTATCAGATTAATATGAAACTAGTTTTTCATATCGCTGAGGATGGTTCTGAAA